CCTTAGTGAGCTACTCTGGGGTACTCCCTAGAGAGTCCCCAGCTGAAGCAAAACACAGCAGGACGGCAGCCGTTGTCACACTAACCATCTCCTCCTGGTCCTGTCACCAACTGCCTTCTCCCCACCTGATGACCATCCACCCCGTTAAGCGCTGATGCATCAAGAGCATTTACAGACCAAGACCTGGTGTAAAGTACTCACCACCGCAGCAAAATCCAAATGCAAACCTCAGCTCCTGCTCTCCACCAGTAAGATCTCCACACGAAGAGCCAATAAACCAGTCCAGCTACTCTCCTGCGAGGTGAAACGGAGACGGTGCTATTTTTACAGGCTAACGAGAGGGATGGAGCCATTCTACCTCTCTCTCTGAAGAGTGAGAACGGATGGATGTCACCTTCCTCAGAGGCAACCTTGGAGAAGACACACACTGACCCGATCCCAGCAGCAACGCTTCACGAACAGGACACTTCTCCATCCGTCCCCAAGAATACATTCCCGAAAGGAAAAACTTCCTCCTTCAGTTAAGGTCCTTGGTTAGAAGGAAAACTAGTTAATCGTTCTCACTCACTTACCCCGAGGCACCATTTACACAGGAAGCAAGAGACGCTGCACCGCGAACCACCACCAAAAAGGCTTTCATATAAATGATAATTTTATTGTAAATAAAACGATACATTGGCCTGGCTTTGCACTGCAAGCCCCCGGTCGGTATATATAGACTACTGGTTCAAGGTCTTCTGCACAATCCAGGTTAAAGCAATTTCTCCCCGCTCTGCACGGTTTATGTCAGACAGGTATTGACAGACAAAAAAAGTCCTTTTTTTGATTTCTGAGCTGCACCTTAGGCACATCTGCCTTTTCTAACTGGGAAATTCAGAGCTGCTCAGTGAGATTTGCTCCTAAACAAGGCTGGAGTTTAAAGACCTGAAGCCCAAACTCCATTAAACCACAGAGGACACTTTTTTTTAAATTTATTTATTTTTTTATTTCTGAAAATTAAAGACAGAGTACCCCCAGCTCCAAGGGCAGGTACCAAGGTGACAGCCCCAGGACTGTAACTACTGAAATATAGAAAACCTTTCGGTCCAGCAGCTATTAACCTAAGCACCAATCACTGGGATCTCATTCAGCCCCCTGCACAGCTCTACGGATTTGGCCTTTGCCTACCAGAGACAGCTTGTACAGCAGGGACGTATGTAGTTACTGAGGTTTCAACAAGTTATCCGGGCTCTCTGGGCACTTGGAAATAACACGTGGCACCTGAGCAGGTACCGATTTCCCTCTCAGTCAATTTGTTTTGGTAATGAATGACAACGGGAACTGTTTGGAGCATCTTCAAGTCCTTTGGAATACTACTCCAAAAATATGAAAAAAACAATAATAAAAATCCAAATTGCTGCAACCTACCGCCACTAGAACAGGCAAAGATCAGGTTTACTGGAGAACAAGCAAATAACCTGGAATGCACAGAATCGTCACACCGAGACCAAAATGCCGACAGTTTGTTTCCTAACAAGCTCAGGGACAGTCGAATCCCCCACTCCCCCACGGTACTCTCTGATGGAATCTCAGACATTTTCCTGGTCACAGTTTCAACTGTTTCAGGATAACGAGACTCCTGTAAGATATTTCTCTTCACACAGAATATTCTCCGCTTCTGCAGCACCTTCCGTTGAGGATCTCAATACTCAATAGTCACTATACATCTCTCCCTGGAAGGAACAGCAGAAACCAGAAAGTGACATTTGGAATGGACACAATAGCTTATTGTTAGCCTGGCACTCCTCCTCCGCTCTCCCCGAAATGAGTTTATTCCCAGGTTTTTTTTCTTCCCCCCCGAATTCTGCCAGGATAAGGAGGCCAGATGTAATTCAATTTAGGGAGATAATTACATTTATGTCCACTTGAAATTTTTTTGCTGCCAGGGCCATGTTAAGAGACTGCAGTATGTCAGCCCCAAGCTTATTCGCTGTTGCAGTGGACTTAGGAATCCAGATCTTCCTTTTCCATAATCAAGAGGGCTGTGAGGAAACAAAGAACGCATTTTGGCTTGGCTCTACTCGTTATAAACCATCAGCAAATTCTCTGCAAAACCAGCTGCTTTTTTTTCCTTTTTAAATTCATAAAGGCGTCAAATTTATTCCCATCCTCCCCCCCCACCCCGTAACAGTCGAGTCGATATATATAAAAATCACCAAATATGATCTTTTACGATATAAATAAAAAAAAAAAGTATGAGGCATCACCGTTTACATGATGTAAAAAGAGCTAAAAAAGAGCGATATAAACTACATTCATAAAAGTGCATCTCCAAACATACAAGTAATGCTTTGGCTTGTTCCTGTGCCGAACGGGTGGCATTGGGTCAGGTACTGGAATACAAGAAGTCCAAGCTGGCACCCCCATGTTCTCTGTCACTGTACAATTGCTATTTACTTTTGTTAATACAGACTGGAATACAAGTGTATACACAGAGTAGGCACATTTCAGCATAGGTGGTGGGAAGGACCAGAAGCTCTGGCGGGGAGAGGACTGAACCCATCGGTCCCCGATGCTCTTTGCTCTGCTCTGGAACAGCCTTCCGTGACGCGTATGAGGTAAAAAGCCACAACAGATCCTGAGGATTTAGTTGCTTTGAAACATTTGAAAGTTACACCATTTCCTCATGCCCTATTCTCTCCCAAAACGCAACGTGGGGGACAGCAAGGAAAAGAAGGTCTCCATTTGGCGAGGACAAGCCGAGGGTGGAGAGAAACCTATGCGGACGGGATCACCGCGCTCTCGCTCGCCGCTGTACGCCTGCAGGGTAAAGCGTGAGGAATAAAAGATTCCAATCTTTGGTATATTTAGGTGCTAGTTGCAAGGCTTGAAGAGTGCTCCCGGGCCCCACAGGAGCGCCGACCACCCTACTTCTGTCCTCAAGACGACAGGAATGATTTCGCATTCCTCCGCAGCACACGCAGCCGCTTACGCCACAGCGAAGGGGTGTAAAAAGCTCCCTAAACCCACGAAGCAGCGTCGTGCCCTGACATCCCTTCGGTGCAAGCAACAGGGAAGTGCAGGCCAAAAGTCAGGCCACGTGTCTCGACAATTTGGAATCAAGTTCCAGGTTGGGAAAAGATCAATAGAAGTGCTCTCACTAGAATTAAATAAATTATGGAACGAAGGCTTTCATAAAAGATATACCCCTAAGTGCCTGCAACCTAAACAGTGCATCCTTGCCGTAGCGCAGGAGAGCCCGAAAGTGAACCCAACGCTAGTTTGCTTTCACCGATTACACATTGCTCCAAGTTTGGCACAGAAAAAACCACTTCAGATTGTTAAACCCTTTCAGGGCTTTTGGTTGTTTGGGGTTTTTTTAGGGTTTTTTTTTTTCCTTTTTTTTAAATCAAACACATTATTTATCACGTGTTCAAGGAGCTTGGTTTCATTAAAACTTGCCTTTTCCTGCGATAAGCATTCACTTAAAACTGTTAGTTTTACTGCATTATGAAAGTAATTTTCAAGTTTTCTTTGGGGGGGGGTGGGGGGGAGGGGGGAGGAAGAGTGGAGGCATGTGGACCCTTAATATGGTTTCCAATCCAAGAGCAGAACACCTTTAGTGTTGCTCTACAAAGCAGTATTTTAGCTAATAATACATTTGCTTGTCTTCGTTTCATTTCACACAGATAACTTATAACTACTCCATGAATCCCCAGCATTTAAAAACTGCTGCTTTTTTTTTTTTTCAAATGAGCGAAATAAGGACTATTAGTGCCCCAGTCAACAGAGAGGATTTGAGGCCAGTAAGCCATCAGGAACCCAGTTCTCAGCGATGTGGTACCTTTCACACGTAAAATCACTCGGATGCATTTTGCTGGTACCTGTACGGGGATCTGCAGTCCCTTTTAGAGACATGCTAGCGTTACAAATGTTCTCTCTGGTTCACTGTTTGACTTAACTCGTACAACAGCTTATTTAAATAGGGCCCTAATATTTTATGGAAACCGTAAATTAACACTTGCACATCTGTTCAACGAAACACGCACGCCGAAGGGTTGAGCTTGGTTCTAACTTACTGTGTAGAAGTAAAACTAGCGTCCAGCAAATTCTCCTGGTGAAAAACTCAATTTTCCATTAGGCCAGGTCCTCAGAGAAATACATAAGCTTTTCCTGAAGTAAATTCCTCGGCACCAGATGAACTATCTTTGGTTTAAGGGATGGTAAGTAGTTACCAGCCAAAAAAGATAGGTGCAACAGAAAGTTGTTGCGCAGAAGTCCCTTCCAGAAGGGCTTTGTTTAGAGCCAGCAGGCCCGGGAAAATGAAGCAGGAGCACAGATTTGTTGGCTATGAGGACACAAACTAACCCACGCTGTCTTAATGCTAGGACAGATCAAGCCTTGGAAATCAAGCTCTGGATTTTTGAAGATCAGTGGGAGAGCCCTTATCTTGGGCCCCGGAGTGATTGCGTTCTGCTGAAACGTTTCTGATTATCCTGACATTTAGCTAGAAAGACCTCCCCCCCCCACCCCAAAATCCATGGTTTCATTATAAAATAACACTATTCACATACTTCTGAATCAATATTTTCTGAACACCTTCAGATGCTGAATACTTAAGAAGAAAAATATATAATCATATAGCGAGCGCATGCTCAATGACACATGGCTTTTTGCTGGATTCATGTACTATAGATGCCTCTTAAAGCCCTAGCAGTCTGGAAACCAGTGACACACACGTGGAGAGCTGGTCTGGACAGCCGTTGCACGTTTCTGTTCCGAAGAGTGTACTCTTCCAGTTCCCATTTTGGTTCAAGATTTCTTCGATGTTCAACCAGCGAGACGCTTCTTAGATTCCCATTCTTGAGCCTGCAGAAAACATGCAGCCAGCTGCAATTTCACATCCAGGTAACGAGGGCAAAAACGCAGCTCTGTTTGGACAGCGGTCGGTAGAACGAACATTAGTCCAGCAAACAAAGGTATCAGGCACAAGAGCAGACCCTAGGTTCCTTGGCACAACTTCCCCAAAGGACTAGGACAGCTGAGTTGGCATTTTGAAGATGCAGCACCACAACGGGCAGTTGCAACTAGACCAGACGGGGCACCGAAAGCCCAGCAGGAGCTGCTAGCGAGGGAGGTAATTCAGTACTGGAGCTGTGCAAACTGATGTCTGAGCAGCTCTTCAGCAGAGGGTCTGTGCCTGGCTTCCACAAAGATCTGCTTTAGAAAGTCCCGGCAATGTTCTGATATGTGAGAGGGGAGCTGGGGGTTGGTTGGTTGGGTGGCGATTTTGAAAATGGCTGCCATGGCTTCGTACTCTGCCCAGGGCGGTTTCTCTGTCAGCATTTCCACAACAGTACAACCCAGGCTCCTGGAAAAGCAGACAGGAAAATAAATAATAATAATAATAAAAAAACAAACAAAACCAAACCCAACAAACCAAAGTGAGAATTGACTCACACAATAATGCACAGTCTTCAGAGAGAACTTGCAAGCAGCCAACAGCGAGGTACAGCTCTGCTCTGAAAACAGCTATAAAACGGCTTTGTGCTCAGCAAGCCCCACGCGTGCACAGATTCTGGGCCAGACCTGCCAATGTCACCGCTTTTACTCCCGCCAGGCTTGCAGTAAATGCTGAGACAGGGAAGCTGCTTTCCACCGTGGTTCTCGCTGCACTGCGAACTGTGAAGTGCCATCTGTCCAGCTCTCCTTAGCTCAAATTCCGCTCTCAGTACACATTTGCATTAAGGACAGGGGACAAGAAGTGCACACGAGAGGTCCCTGAAGGCACCGTTTGACCTCAGTGATGCTTCGCCTGCTGCTGCTAAATTTCAAAGGCACTGGCTGAACTGCAGTGCAGAAACCATACTTTTCAACCAAGGTCCAGTCAATCAGAGCTGGTTGACCCCACAAAGGCATTTCGGCAAAATCCTTTTTCAGTGCACAGCCTCAGAATGCCCACGGGGGGGAAAAAAAAAAAAACCCTCTAACATCTCCACAAGAAACCAAGCGTCACAGGCAGTCAAAAAATAATTAAAGTCTTAACAGCTCCAAACTGAGGAGGCAGTTCGTTAAAACGCCAGTAGGCAGATGCTTCATTACGTTAAGGCAAAACTCCCAGTAAGGTTAATGGGGCTCTACAGGCGAATTCAAGGCAAGAACATGATTATTGGGGACGGACATGGCTCAGCCACCTTTTGAAGCAAGCGTGACACCAATGCTTTCACAGGGAAGATGAGTTTCTGTAGTACTGCAGCGACTGGGTTTTGTGCAAAAAGGATTAATTGCTTCCTCCGGGCCACAGATTAAGCAAAAGCAGTTAGTGAACTTCTAATATCCAGTCCTGTGTTTTGATCGCATCGTTCCACGAAAAAGGCAAAACTGCCTCTTCTACCTTTAAATTAAACCCGCTTTTGAAGTGAAAAGCAAAGAAAAGACATTTGCAGAGGCAGACTTACATCAGTTGCCAAGACAAGGAAGGAAAGGAATTAAATCCAGTGAATATGCAAGAAACGACTTTTTGACAAGGTTTAAAATCCAACGTGAAAATTTTACACTGGTTTCCAGCCATTTAAGACTTACTAGAAGAGAGTACAGAAAATGCAAACCATGTGTGCTGAAGTGCTGGGGGTTTGCTCAAGAGCAAGCAGGGATATATTATTGTTTAGACTGATTTATACCGTTTAAGCAGATCCGGTTTCTTGTCACTCCAGCAATAACAAATAGCTCACATTTTCTGCTATTTAGGAAAAAGAAAATTGGAGAGGGGCCTGCAGCAGTGGAGGAAAGCCAGGTGGCCAGATTTGTTACGTCTTTGAGCCTCTCGGCCATACGCATCCACCCTGGGACTAACGCTGCGTTGGAAAATTCTGACCCCCCTAAATAATGATTGGGATTGTAGGAACTGGAGCCCAGCCAACGGCAGCGTCTCTTTGATGGGAACGGACCCATGTCAGCACCAAGAGGAAATCCACAACTGCATCAACCCAGGGGGAAGGGCACGTGCTCCATTCTCTCCCCAAGCATCCCAACTGGGAGAGTCTGCGGAACTTAACTCTTTGCCTACGAGACAAATTTCAGCTCTGTTTCCACCCCCTGCTTATAGAGGAAATAGCACGGGCCTTGCTTTAGCGTGGAGAGACAAACGTACCTTTTGTCTCCATCATTTAGTTTAGCTTTATAATCTCACCTTTTTAGGGCCTCCAAAACCAACATTTTGACACAGGACCATTTTGCTTTTTCCTTTCGATAGAGGCTGTTTCTCGGCTATGCCAACAGTAGCCTGGCTGGAGTTTCCATTCATGCAAACTGCAGATCATCTCTGACCTGACCCGTGTATCTTTTGTGTTATTCCAGGTTTGGGCATCTTTCCTTTAAAGCTTTGTCAACATACTGAAATTATATATTCCTATTTCCAAGGTGATATAAGCATACCTCTCACTTTATAGCAAAATGAATGGATGGTCCCTAAACAACCCTCCATTCTGTCTTATATAAAAAGGATATAAAAAGGATGGAAACCTCACACCAGAAAAAGTCAGAAAACAGAAAATCAGTTATCGGTTTGAGGGAGGAACGAGTGGAAATTGTTCCTGAAAGACTAAACGAGCAGTTGTGTGTTGACATTGCAAAGCACAGCCTGCAGCAGATCGTGTCTTGAGTTCAAATCAACTACTTCAGTTCACCTTAAACTTTTGATCCAGATATACGGACGACAGAATGCGTATGTCTTATCTTGCTCCAGAAAAGCTGCAAATTGATCTATGGACAGAAAGTTAAAGCCTCACCATACGTCTGCTTTTCTTCCATAGCCTTCTCCGCTGATCACCTCCGGGCTCATCCAATATGGCGTGCCAGTGACAGAGCGGATGCCTGTTCCAGACATACAGATTGTCTGCAGCCGTTTGCTGGCCCCAAAGTCCCCAAGCTTCACATTCCCAGCAGAGTCACGGAGAATATTGGCTCCTGGACAAAAAACAAAGAATCGAGACAGCTGTTTTCATGCAATCCAGCTGTTGGATCCGCAGCCTACAGAGTTGATATCCAACCCAGAAATACCCATGCTCACGGTATGGCTTTTTCCCCATTAAGCCTCAGGTGACCTGCTCAACATCATTTCTTTATTTCAGGCTGTAGACAAGCCAATTGCTAATGGTTGCAAATGGGAAAAACTTCAGGGGAAAAACACAAGGAAGTGAAGGGGGAAGGGAAATGAGCGCTGAGTCAGCACCGTCATTGTTACACTGCCCGTAAACAGCTCAGACAGCCTATGCAGGGCCCCCAGGCCAATGGCTCCGAGAGTACATAGCTGTGTAGAAGGATTTTGTTGGGATGCTGCTTTGGTGAGCACAACCAATGCTTTCTGGTCAGCTGGGTAACAGATGTAGCTAATTAAACCACTTTGAACTCCTGCAATAAACAAGTCAATCTCCACTTTACTTGGTCAGAGGTCCTGAACATGAAGCACGAGGGAAAAAGGCAAACTCAAGATCTTAGCTAAGCTTAACAAAGGCTTAGACGTCAAAACCAATTCTTCCTCCAAAGCCGCAGTAAGATCAAGAACCCTGTTTTGCTATTATCTGGTATGTACCTATGTGAACTCCTTCTGCCCTCAAACAAAATGCACTTGTGCTCGGAGATAGCTTTATCACTTCACTTCCCCACTGGAAGAGCTGAATTCGGAATAACAAGTCTGCCCACCCTGGAGGCAAGTTAACAGTTTGGCTTAGATAGGTGCAAACTAGTGAATAGCCCAGCAGGTAGGAAATCATTTGGTAAAGAGCACCATGCGAGCAGTATACAAGGTGTTATTCAAGAATCAGCAGCTCATTTCCCTTTGCCAGCCTAGAGGGGATGCAATGAAGATTTATAGCCAGGAACAAGAGGACATTTTTCCTACAGCAAGCAATCCTCCTGGTCCCTCTAGAGCACAGAAAAATTCGTGTGGTGTCTGCCACATCTGTTGACATTAACTCTTAAGGAGACTGGCTGGCTCCATGGGGTTATATTGGGAAAAGGAAGATTAAGGACTGATCCCAGAGGCTCTACATGGAAGATTAGAGGTTTCTTACACAGAGGAGGCAGGACAGTCCAGTCACAAGAGCCTGAGGAAAGCAGGACTGTCAAGAGCAGGCATGGAGCTCCTATGGCAATTGGTATGCCTACCAGCGGTACTTTGGCCAAGAAGAGAGGAAATCAGAAGGGAATCCACAGGGAAATGTGCATGCCTTATGGGGGCAGTGAAAGTTAGATGGCAACTCATCCTCATTTTGCTGGGTTGTGAGAGGAAGATGAGGAGCGTTCCTAAGAATTAGAGGCTCCCAGTCTTCCTTACTACAACAACTGCCACGCTCTCAGGTCCTGTAGAGAAAACAGCCCAAATTCCCTTACCCAACCCAGGACACAGCCTTCCCTAAAGCCTGCACAAGGATATACGACCAAAAGGGGATAACTGAGCAAAGCAATGTTCAGAAGCCCCAGACAGGATACTGAATTCTCAACACTTGCTTTCTTTTTTCAGAGTTCCTTTAGCTCATGGCATACACATAAATCACCGGCTGATCTCACCCTTAATGTCCCTGTGCACAATCATGTTGCTGTGAAGGTACGAGACTCCCTCGAGAATCTGGCGAGTGTATTTCCGGGTTACATTTTCCGTGAGAGCACCATACGCCTTCAGCTGGTCTTTCACTGACCCCTGCACCAAAAGCAAACAGAAGGGATTGGCAAAGAAAGGACAAACCACAAATCTTGCAGTCTCCGTTCAATTCCCATGAGCTGTGACTGCGTTATACACCCAGCCGGCACAGTAGCAAATTTTGGCCTCTTCTAAAGCCTTTTTGTGAGGCGCTCGGAGCATCTTGCCCTACGAAACCCCTTTTAAGAAAAGCAAAAATAGCTTAAGGAGGTTCTGTCTGCTTCCTCCATCCTCGAGCTGTGTTGGTACAACTGCTTGTGAAGACAAGCAATAAAATAGTTCAGCAGACTGACCTGGGTCAACAGTCTTGCAGGGTCAGTTTAAGCCTAATTTGGTGTACTATATGACTCTGCTAATTCCGTTAGCCTGACTTACGAGTTGGCCCAAGTCCTCTGAAGTATTTCGTTAGAATGCATTTAGACTGAAGACAAGACGCAGTGTTAGTGACTAATGAAGAGAAGGTATTTCAAGTACAAGACACGAAGAAAAAAACCCCAAAGAGGTGGTTTGGGCATCAATAAAAAAAAAGTGGTGGCGTTATAAAGCCAGTATGAGAAAGGGGCATACCTAAGAGGGCGTAAGGTGGATTACATACTTGGGGTAATCACAGCAACTAATAAACCAACTAACAAAACCGTCCATCTCCCTTTATGATCTGCGACTGTGCTGCTCGTGTCAGCTCTTACCCCTGGCATGTACTCCATGAAGATGGTCAAGGTCTTCTCTGCTCGATCCCGTAAGCAGCCATAATACTGAACAATACGTTCGTGCTGGAGATTCTTCAGCAGCTGAATTTCACACTCCAGGGCACTCACTTCCTATGGATGTTGAAGGAGAGAATAAGGTTCCAGCCCCAGGAAATATTTCATCCTAATAAATCTGTCCATGTCACTGGAAGGGTGAGGCCACTACTACACTGACGAAGTCTAATCCATGGCATTGGCTCACCTACCTCTTGGGAAAGGCCAACAATACTAGTGCTTTGCATTAATCCTTACCGTATAACAAGCAGGTAAGTACTGGTGCAGAAGCTTTGATAGTTAGAACACAGGCAGTGTCACATGTGGATTTATTACCAGAAAAAAAACTTTGTTTCTTGTCTCGATTCTGTCAGCTGAACGGCTTTAGCCAAGCACGTTAAAGCATTCTTCACGCACAACCCAGACATAAGCTTACTTCTCAGCACTAAGCTGGGGGCAGTGAGCATTAATTTCAATGATGAAAAAGCTCTGAACACACAGTTACAGAATTGCTAAGAACCTTTCTGTGGGAACCTCAACCCATTAGGGAGCAAGACTGCAGGTGCTAAGAGTTCCTAAACGTTTGTCACCCAGTCCTGTTCCGATTCATGCTGATGATTTTACTTGAATCAACCTTAGAAATGACTTCCTCTCTTATACTTCAAAGAATCTGCAGCTGTGCTCACGAAAGCGATTCTCTGCTTTACTCCTGCCACGGACAACAGGGTATCATAGCACAAAGCCAAAAAGGCTATCCAACAATTTCAGACTGAATCAGAGATGTTTGCTGCCCAGGAGCAGTATCGGGTTCTTGCTGACTCCAGGGAGTGAACAGGCTGAACATCAAAGGTACAGGAGCACGAGGACTTTTGGAACAAGGAATGATGGTTTCCCCCAAATTAGTCCCACTTAACTCTCTCCACTCCTGCCACTGGAAGGTGCCAGGTTCGCTTCTCTCGCTTTGGGAGAGGAGGCAGCTCTTCAAGAGCAAGGACCTGGCTGCACGGAACCAGAGGAAGTTGCCTAATTGGGCCAACTGATAGTTTAAGGTTAGGAGTTTCAGTACTTTCAAAATACATTCCAGCCTGTTCTTCCTTTGCTCAGAGTTACCGTCTGATTTACAACAGAGACGCAGTATAACTTAGAACTCACCAAGTTAGGACTTACCTTGGCACCCACAAGCCATATAAAAATCAGAATAATTAAATCTTCACAGATCAGTTATTCCAGCTCAAAGTGAATTTGTTCAATATTGGGATAACTGGTACATTGCTAAAACACCAGCAAAGAACCCGATGGCCATTCCAGCTGCACCCGTTGTGCAGGAAGTCGTGTGCTAACCTATGACTTCCAGGTGCCCCTTCCCATCTCCACCGTTTCTAATGTGTTGTTACATCACCATTCTTGATTAATTTACACACCACAGTTCCGTTTGTTTTGAGGAAAGGGAGAATTCAGAAGCAGAAATCTCCAATTAATACACTTGATACAGGACCTACCATATAAGCCCAGACAGTGGGTTTTGCAAGTGCATGCAGCTTTTTTTGTTTAAAAAAGAAAAAAGTTCTACTCTTTCTGGGTTTAGTTTCGTTCACGTCCATGTCTAACCAGCAACACAGGGCAGTCTAGTATTCCTCAAGTAACCTGGCAACGAACCAAAAAACTGAGAAGGGAGAGCCAAAAATGAAGCCAGAAAACGGATTTTAGTTTCAAGCTGAAGTTAATAATACGGGAAAGTAATTTTTACATGACTCTCATTCCTCTTCACATGACTTGAAACCCTAGTACAAACTAAATAAGATAGTAGCTTTCGAGGACAGACAGATACAGGCACTTTACAGGATCTCAAAGTCTGCATAATGAATTTTAGAAGCTGCGATGAGAATTACCTTGCTTGTTTCAGGACTCTCTGGGTCAAACTGAACTTGCTTAGCTGCAAGCTCTCTGCCCGTGTCCACATCATAGCACAAATACACACGACCAAAGGCACCCTGGCCCAGCAGCTTTCCTCGTCGCCAGTTTATTGGAGCACTCGGAGCTAAAAAAAGAACAGTAACAATTTCTCTTTTCATTACACTATTTAAAAATAACGGTGATCTTTTCAAAGATCAATCCCCATCATACTGCGATTGAAACAGATATTTTGCAGTCAAACAGACAGACATGAGGCACTCTCCCAGTACAAGGGAGTCAGCGGCAGAACTCTGAACAGAATCCAACCTTTCAGACTCTCAGGACCTGCTGATCGGTGTCCCACTAAGACAAAGCTGCGAGACACTTTGCAAAGATATACTATAGACAAGTTATTCAATGAAGTTGATGAGATTTCATTCCACCAGCAGAATGGATTCTACAACATCACTGTCTTACGAGATGGGGCAGCAATTAAACAGCATCTTCCAACCCCTGATCTGTAGTTTCTACATGCATCAGATGAAGAAGAGCTGGATCAGCCCTGCTAAATCAGTCCCACTCAGCTGGGAATGACTGTTAAGCTTCTGGGACTACCTGAAGGACATAATTTCCGAGTACTTTGCCAACCATTGGTTAGTTCGGGGTTCCTTCTCCCACCAGAAGGATTTCACTTCAAGGCTATCTCTACAGCAGAAAAATTAGAAGTCAGAATTCCCTACTGGAAACTGATAAGGTAAGGGCCATAATGTAAGCACAGCACAGGTATCTTCTTTACCGGCTGAACAATCAGACTCTAATAAAAATATACATGAGAACCAGCTAAAGCAGCCACCTCCAATACCCCAGCTGGAGGTTACGTTAGCAGGGAATTACCAGTTCTCATTGTTCTACTGCACTGGCAAGCACACTGCACAAGCAGCAGTCTCCCGACCTAGAGAATAACACCTGAACCCAGTCTTCCAGACTGCATGCAATACCAAAACGTACTACTCGAAGACCAGTTCTTTAGCTCTAACTTTGAAAATGACACTACCAGATGCATGCAGTGCAATGCATGCAATTATGTTGTATCTAACAAGAAACTCTAAAAACAAAGACAAGAACCAGCCATCTGGACAGTGTGAAAATACAGAAGATCGGAGAGATTAGCTTTGCCATGTCTAATTTAATCAGATTTACTGCCAGTCAGTGTTTTAGTGTGTTGCTTACTCTGCTGCATTAATGTCTTCATTTTGATGCTTAAATTACTACATGGGCTATCTGAAGTTCATCAGTAATGATTTATGTTCCATTTCTTTTTTTCAGAATATAAAGTTCCCCAAAAATCAACTCAGGAATGCTATTAATACAGTGGTAAATCTTTCTACTAAAGAGCAAGTGAAATAAATACAGCCCTTAACTAGTAAAATAATTGTAATCCACAAGCCTGACTACAAATGTTAATGTATCAAGAAAATAAACAAGCTTGTCTGACTCCTTAAGAACCCTGTAGATCATCTAGACGCAATCAACTTACAGGGGTTTTTTAACTTCTTCGCTGAATTTCCATTGCTTTCTAGAGGAAAGGCCAGCTGCCAGCTCAAGACTATATATTCTTAGAACAAAAAGAGGACCTGCAAAAACGCAGGTCTCAACAGAGACATGTAATTATGTGGTTTTGAATGGCTTGCTAAAATCAAGCTATGGTAATATACTGGGTCTGGAGTTCATCTCTAAAAGCCTTTCTTGCTGGTAAGCCCAGGAGACCTTTCCCCAGTTATCACCACCAGGGTGACTGCTTACATTTGGTAGGAATGTTCCTCTCCTGCACACCAAGCGCGTTTTCACTGTCGGCACTCCGCAGGCGGCCCCGGGGGTCCAGGTACTGCAACGCCAGGCCCAGGTTTTCTCCGTTGGTGCTTAAGGAACGACTTGAAGGGACCAAGGTGAAAAGATTCCCTTGGTGACGCCGTATCCGGGGAAATGTCCTCCGGCCTGGAGAAAAGAAGTAGGTTTTTTTTTTTAAATATCAAAATAGCACGCTTACAAGTGGAAGGTAATGGCTGGAGGTTGAGCAATGAAGAGAAGGGAGAGAAAAAAACGTGTTCTGCTCTGTTCCCATGGAGGAGAATCTACTGCCAAACAGACAAGATGCAAAAATATAACAGCTCAGGGCTGATGCTGCTCGAGTTCAGTAGAGCTTTGGATCATTCCCAAAGTAGAAGGGAGAGAACACTTTGTAATGCCCTCAGTGCAGCAGCGCAAGATCTCAGCCTGCCTTCCAAAGCAAAAATCTGGTTGACAGGCTACCACACAGGCTCCAGGGCTCGTTAACAACTACACAGACATGACTTTCTAGATAACAAGCCTGGACTTGCAAATAAAACCCATAAACAAAGATTATGACAACTTGCACCTCTTATGAAACTCTGAGAAATTACTTTGCATAAAGCCATCTGACGAGCAGAGATGTGATTCTTTAAGTCACTGCTATATTTAGAAGACGCAGAAGCAAGTTTGCATTGCGAATTAGCAAAGCATAATGAATCCCTGAGGTAGGAACCCACTGTGTATGACCAAGGCTAATAACTATGCCCACTGCTCAACACTAGCGGTCACTGATCAGCCTGGATTTCCCCAGAAAGGGTAAAGTAAACAAAGAATTGCAAACAGCCATCATGGCTTGCTAGGAAAATGCAGCATCACGCACGGCAGCATTAACTCCAGCACTAACTGCAAAGACCAAGGCACTTCCAGACTCTTCGACTAGGAGTTACGCTCGCCGCTGGAGGTTGCCATTGCCTCATCTTCTTTTTCAAGCCTGGAATCGAAGGTCTGAAGCCAACTCACCATCGTTGTAGTCTTTGTGCTGCATGGAGACATTGTAGCGTCGAGGGTAGGTCCCACCTTTCCCCGCTTTGTCATATATCTGATTCTCGCGCTCTGGAACGAGATACAAAGAGAGACAAGAGGCTCCTTCAAAAAGTCTAAGTACTAATGACAGAATTTTCCTGTAACAGCAGGCTTTTTAGGAAGAGGTAATAAATAGCTTCATAGCTTTTCAATCAACATATCCCCAGTTCTTCTATTTGTACAATCCCAGCAAGCATAGAAGGTAGCCAGCGAACAGCAGAAAATGTCTGGATCACGCAATCTTTATATTGGACACTGACATACCTGAGAAGTCCTGTCTATTATCAGGAAAGCTTTGTGCCCTTGACATCCGTGACTTCCGAAAAGAAGGACTATTAAAGAAAGAAGGCAAGAATAAGTTTTGGTGTCCACTAGAGTGAAACCTACAAGGACTTTAAGTAACCGTGATTCTCAAATCCGTGTCCCTGCAATAATTTCACACTAAATCTGCAAAGCTAAAGCCAGGCTAAGCCCCAGCTAGCCAGACTACTTCCCAGTGTGGGCAGTCATCCCTTCTGTTCAGTTTGTGCCCTTTATTCAGCAGTTCCCCAGTCTGTGGTGTAAGACCCAGTGCTTCCTTCAGACACGTGAAGCGGAAGGTTAAAACCAAGGCTAAGGGTAAGAACAGAACAGGGTACTGCTTGCAGCACATTGCTCCCAGGGCAGCAGAGAATGGGGACTACTGCCCCCAGTGATTTACCACGAGGGGTAAGAGCTCCTCTCATGAAAACTTCTGTGCACTTTCCTCTCTACCAGCAGCAGATGAGCCTAAACACAAACATTGCTTACAACCCTCACGTTCCTCCCCAATAAGCAGGACCCCTTGAGCAAGCCTAAGAACGGCCCCTTGTTCGGCAGAAGACCTTAAAGAACATCTCTTAAGAGATTACACAAAATCAGTCTGTGCCAAAGCCATGTTATTTGCACTTTTTTTGTTAACCAGCGTAAACAGAGTAAGCCTGCTACAGCTTTCAGACTCCCAAACGAGATTCCTTTCCTGCTACACAAAGAACAACAGCTTCCCCAGATGATGCCTCTCCTACAAGGAATAACCAGGAAGGCTTTTTTATTTTTCCCTCCTCCCCCACTTAGAGCAGGGAAAGGGGAGAGGATAGGTAACAAATTAGCAATGCCCCCCCCCCCAATAAATGAATGCATACATACACACAGATTAACTGTAAGTGCTTCCTTGCGACTCCATAAACTGGAGCAAGTGAATGGCTACAAAACCAAACCTCAAGTGCTTGACATAAAAGCATACGCTACCTACAGGAATCAGCTTGGAGGAATCTTAAAAACACATTGAAGCCCTATATTACAGGTGCTGGGAAGCCACAGTTGCTATTCAAGTTAATAGGACCGACGGCTGCCCACCAACATCTCAAGCAACACCAACAGCGAAGGGAAGAAAAAAGATCTAGAGCATCAGACTATGACACACTCTTCAAAGGAAGAGCCCCTCTATTTACCTTTGGAATTAATATTATATCTTGTAGGACATACGAATCTAGTGTAATGATGTAACCTTAGAATAGTTTTTTTTGGTTTTTTGTTTTTTTTAACGAACAAGTAGAGCCTTGTCTAAAAGATATTTAAATACCCTGCAGCCAGATGTTCTCGGAGCCCAGGCTCCAGGCAGACGGCACGCTTTAGAACTTCGTATTTATAACACAGAGCTATTGAAGCACAAGTTTGTTGCTGTATGTTTTTTCCAGAAAATAAAACAGCCTTAAACATAGTTAATTCTCTCTAAGAAATATATTGGGATATAGGTAGGAAGGAAGTTCCTATTTCTCTCCAAGAAAATTTATGAGATGGAAACCAGACTTTTGCATGAGTACAACTGGCACTTCGATTTGACCACGTAAGTTCCTACCAGCTTGTACATTTGTACCTGTCTGCTGACCTGTCCAAGGACTGACAGCTTCCCGACACCGAGTTTTCAGCACTGCTTAAAGGGTCCAGCATCTGCAACACAGAAGAAATCACAGGGCAACATCAGTTCCATCTAATGCCCAAAAGAAGCTGCGCAAGAGGATCTGAGTCCGCTGCTGCTTGCCTGAAGGGCGTCCGGATGAAAAGGGGAGTCTAAAGCTATTTGGGGTGTACATTTTTCCTTTATCTCCCACAGAAATTATTAAGGACATCGCAAATTTGAGACATTGCTTTAGGTGTTGACGGACTCTGCTGTGAAAAATGAAAGTTTAAGTCAGCCTAGTGCCGCGTTTTGATCCCAGCTGACTTCAGGAACAGAGTCTCTGCTGGTGCTACTGCACTGCTGCCTCCACCTGCAAGTCGCCCTTTGGCCTTGCTTCCTACTTTTTTGAATGGAGAGCGCAGTTTCAAATGCAAGAGGGTGACACCAGCCCGGTAATAGGAAACCTGAGCATACATGTGCAACACGCACCAAAACTGCTTATTCAGAGGTGGGGAGACAACGTCCAAGACGCACAGCGACTGCTTCCGGCAGTCCAATACAGGCTTTGCACTTAGGCATCCACGAACAAGTCTGAGGCATAGTTTAAATGAACAAAGCAGTACTAGTAGGTGTAACGCAACTACGGCTCGTGAATATTCTGCAGTGAAAAAGAGGGCTCAGAAAGCAGCAGTGTTCCTTAACAGCTGGAGTTACTTATTTTCACCCTAATGCTCGTACTTACACACTGTTCATTGGTTTCTGGGATGAATTCGCCTTCACTATTTATGCTGGTGTAGGAACCCTGCCGAGCAATGCGCTGTTGCCTCTCTGGAACATACCCAGGAGGTGGTGAACTTCGGCCTGTGTTCTGGGAACCTGGGCCAGAAAGAAGGACATTCATGATATTTATGCTTACTGAAATAAGACTGCACATGCACGTACACAAAATCCAAATATTCACCGTTAACACTAGACCTCTATGATCACAGCAACTCAGAGCGAATCTGACAGTCTGGGCAGAACGGAACCACGAGGTGCCATGTCAAAAAGCAAATCGTTTGATGACCTATACTGTCATTTTAGCCCCTACAAGTTTATTGGTGAAGCTTCTAACAGAGCGGTCACTTATTTCCAACCTCTTCTGCTTAACCTTCTCCTTTTGAGCATAATTTCAGTATCTCAGGGAAGGCAGAAGACCCCAGGAACCCTTGGGTTTGGGGCATGAACCTCCCTTCACTGCTAATCTCCACTAAACAGAACATTTGTCAGGACAACCAATCTTCTGTCTTGATTAGAAGTTTGCCTCAACTGGTATCGTTTCCCTCAAGTGGCAGCCCTATCCCTGCTAGTCACCATCAGCTGAGCTAATTATACCAACACTGAGCAATTCCAGTATCACATGGGAGCACTGTTACCTTTGTGAATAACCTCAAACTTTCTGGTTTACTCAGTGAAAAATGAAACTGTACGGCTAGCTTGGGCAAAACCACATGGAGGTCAGCTCTGGAATTTCTGTTAATTAGATGAGACAGCCAGATGGACAGAGAGTATGTTTAGGGGCCAAAGGATGAGAAAAACATTTTACTCATCTGTAATGGTACTACCTAAAGAGTTTCTGCTGTGCTACCTACTGAGAGAACCCTCACCCCTAGGGTTTATTTTTTCCATGCAGATCTCAAAGATGATGATACTTTAGACACAGGAAGATACAAAATCCCTTTTTGCAGTGACCTATCCATCTGCAGCTCCCACCAAGTCAAACTGTGAGCTCCAAGAAACGCTGTGGTCCAGCCAATCTACTCAAGGTCACCCATGAAGTCAGAGACAGCATTTTAAGATCAGCTCCCAAGCTGTGCTCTTTACGATGCTGTCTTTAATTAACTGTGTGTACTCAGGTGCTACGAAAGATGGGTAAAGATCAGCAAATACTCTCCCAAGAAAAATATTTTCTACAGAAGTTATTGTAATAAAGAGCGATGGCAAACATCAGCAGAAGCTAACTGAAAAGCAGTGCACACACCATTCGGAGGACTGCAGAAGGGAAATAAAAAACAACCCAACACTGGCATGGCTTAGAGCGCACGGGGGGTGAACTACACACAAAAAAATTATACAAATCTACTGCTTAGAGCTACCACCTGATTTTCCAAGCAGCTCTGTGGGGCTCACGTGACATTACAAGCCAACTGGAGTGGAGATAAACAAGAGAGCGTGCTTTGGGGCTGCACTGAGTCACGGGAGCACACTTTCACTCTTTACGATTCAATGCACTT